TTTTCAGCTACACATATAAATATATAGCTGGAAATGTTTACTGTATAAATATATTATATATAAATGCCAAAAATCCGTTAAAAAATTTAGCGGACGCGTACTTGGGTACCACGCGAGTAGGACTGCCCATTTTGGGGATTTGGGGCCCGTACGTGCATGTAAATTAATTTTCCAAAGTTTCAGCCCTGCAGCTTTTATAGGTCTTGAGATGAAAAATCGGTACCGACGCACACGTAGACAAACACCTCGTCATCAATATGTGTTTTCCGCACTGCATCGGTGCAAAAAACGCATTAAAATCACCGATTGAATCAATCAGTGAAAATTTTTTATGAGCCGATTGTAAGGCTGTGGTGTTGCACAGTAATTCTTTAGAGAAAACTTGTTTATTCCAGTTCAAAATATATCAGAATGAAATCGATTCAGTCTACTACCAGATGATAAAAACACAGTGTCCAACAGTTAAGGAAACTGGGATGAATCGGATTTATCTCAGACACTCAATAATACAAAAAACACCCTAAAACATTCGCAAAAATATTCGTATTTGCCTTGACTAAATAATCCTGACTATTTTAAAATAGTCCGAAAGAATAAATACTGCTTTTGAAGCCATAGTTTTTAAATTAAAAGAAAACGCCACGAAACCTTAAGTTCAATCAGTTTTTATTGCTCTCTGTTAGTAACTCTTAAGTCGGCCTTAAATTAGAGCCCAGGAACGGGAACCAAAATTCAGAGTTTGTAGCATTAACTATGCTTCCCGATGTTTTACTCCCCTAGATTCCGTCGGAGTCTGAAAGCACGAAGCCAGAGAACTGACCAGGAATTCCAAATCCTCTGATCACCTAACTTTGCCTCCTTTGAAATAAATTTCTAGATCTGATGCGGTTCAAAAATCAGTTCTGCACGAATACCAAATCTTCATAATCGGCATGTACCTGAGGGTAAGTGATGTTGGGCTGCAACATAGTGTAATACCTCGCCATAACAAACAAAAGTTCACTTGAACTTCCGAATTTCCTTTCGCATTCCTCAAAAGTCCCGATCGCAGAGGCAGTTCCATTCAAGGGGAGCAATTGAAAATAATGTTTGTAGATCTGCAAAGCTTCTTGAATATTACGATGTATGGCCATCATGTTTTCGTTTTGAGCGTCTTCTTCCGAAAGCTGAAGATTTTCAACGAGCAGATTCTTGATTAATTGCTTAGTTTCCTGGTATGTTCCCATTTGGACTTGATGCCATGGAGTCACGCAGTTAGCGCGCAGTCTCACTTTTCCGGAATGGTCAGATGTGCCAATTTTTATTGCGAATGTGTGGCACACTGTCGAATTCTTTTGCAACAAACGATGAAAAATTCGATTTCGGCTTATAATGCCCTTACATCCACTGAATGCCTGCAACATTACAAAAT